CGGCGTCTAATATCCGCTTACGGAAATACCTTGATCGATTTTTTGGGGACTGATAGATTACGGATTTTGAGCAGTTCTCCGAGCTGGGAAATTATTTTGCAGACGTTTCGTTGCCTGACTAGGCAACATCATCAGTGCGGCTTCTGGGGCCTGGTAGATTAATTTGAACGAGTCAGCCGACTTGGTGGCGCGCCCCGTATCCGCAAAATGCTTGGCGATGGCAGAGTTGGTGACCTTTTGGCCTCCATTTCCGAGCCAGGCCGGATGGTGTTCCTTCACCCTTTCGGATAAGCGTCTTGTTGTACGACCAACTTGGCCTGCTCCACAGGAACAGGTAAAGAAGTATACACACATTGATTTGGTGTGGATAGGCAGCTTATCCTTGAGGTTTAGTCGCACCATTGGGCTGCTGGTGAACCGGATTTGCAACCTCGCCGCTGGGAAGGTATTCCTGAGTGTGGACGAGAGACGGCGGGATAGATTCTCGGATACTATTTCCCTTGGTAAGGCAGTTGTAGGGAAATAGATTTCCGTTTCGCCGTCAGGACCACAGGTGCCTCTCTGTTTCGCCCCATATTCGTATTAATAAAATGCTCTTGGTAGCCATTCTCTTTAAACATCGATCGTATTAGCTGCAACTCTTCGAAAAGAGTATCCTTCGAGCAGATTCTTTCGGCCTGGTTCACGAGACCGAGGACCAAGTTTCTCCTAATCCGAAGCGGCACAAAGCTATGAAAGTTTGTGTACTGTCTATTCCAAGTGCACTTTCGGTAAACGCTACGTTTTATTGCACCATCATCAAGTCTTTGTAGAGCGACATCGAGAAAATGGAAAGCGCCGTTTGCTTCTACCTTGTAGGTGAATTGTATGGCATTGTGAGCCTGGTTAAATACGCTGATGAGCTTCTCGATGATACCGGAGGTGTCAAGTAGGACGAAGATGTCATCTACGTAACGGTGATATAACGTGAGACTACTGATGACTGCTTTCAATTTACCCTGTTTCAACATACCCATGAAAACATCAGCAAGGAATGGTCCAAGCGGGGAACCCATTGCAACTCCATCGCGCCGTCGGTATGTATCCCCGTCGAATAGGAACTGAACATTAAATGTACACCTTAGCAGTAATTCTTTCAGGGCCGGAGTTGGTATGCAAATATTTAGATGGTTCTCGTCATTGAGTTGCAAATGAACTCAATCGTTTCAAATAAAGGCACATTCGTGAACAGTGAGGTGACGTCTAGAGAGCGCATAGTTTGGTTCTTGATGTTGACATCACGCACGGCATCTACAAACGCAAAAGTGTCATTTAGGGTATGTACAGCGACTCGTCTACGCACAGGCTCAAGAAGTTCTACCAACCAACGAACGATCGAGTGGCATGGGAAGTTTCTCATGTCCAAAACCTGGCGAAGGGGACAGGTAGGCTTGTGGGTTTTGGGAAGGCCGTAATGCCTTGGAATAACCGTGCCCACGGGGCGTAGATTTTCATAGACCGATTCGCTGATATAACCACCATTCTTAAGCTTTTTGAGACAGACGCATAGTTGATTATCGATCTGCTTTGTTTTGTCTCGCTCACCAATCATTTTTAAGAATTTCATATTATCTGCCAATATTTCACCCATCTTGTTGAGATAGTCTGCTCTGTTTAGGATAACAATGCCGGCGCCTTTGTCTGGACGGGTAAGCAGAATTTGATCGTTCCTAATTAGTCGCTGCATGCTTGCATATGCTCACGTTTCACCTGTGTGTTGTGCGGAAGCCGTGCACACCGATACAGATATGTTCGTTTACACAGTTTTCTGCTCAAGCAATGGGTTTTTCCATTCTTTTAAGCCGTAGTCCTCTTTTCTCACATTGCTTGTCTTTACTTTATGTGTGCCACCGACCACTTCCCAACCTCCGAAGTGGATGGACTAGGATACTGGCAGGGCTCCCACACCTGACAGGCGAACGACTCGGGTCCTCAGCCAGAAGCTGCTATTAAATGTACACCCGAAAGCCAGCGGGTTTTGCCCATGGTCATTTCACTGACTCACACGGATTGGTGTGTCCTGGCTCTTAGCCAGTGGTCGCCACGCGGAAGCGTCCAGTACTTGAGACATTGGCCCAACAGTAGCAGCAGTGGGTAGACCATCTCTCAGGATCTAGGCACCGCATGCCTCAGCGCACCATAGGCTCTTCCGTCTTATTTCTATTACCAACAATCTTTCATGACCGAGGCCCTCTCAGTGACCTTCGGCTGCGTTAGGTAACAAACGCGCAGGAGTTCATTTTCATAAATGAGTTCTGGTCAAGCTCAAGGTTTACCGTTACCAGAACAGCGAGTAAGAGAATCGCAGTCATTTGAAACGATCGTCCCAACGGCGAAATGGGCGTAATCTTGTACTATTGCAGTAGTTTGCCGTGTAAAGTGTTAGACAGGCACGAGAAACTGATGGCCGATTTGTTATGGTACGTTTTCTGCCCCAAATCTATGGCAACTGCTAAGTGTTCGTGGTTTATTGCCCCCAGCATCCACCCTTTAAGAGATAAGAAACTTACTCCAAAGTTACGACCAGCTTTCTTCTCTCAGGTGTTTTCCACTTTCATGTCGTGGAAGCCTCCGCATACTCAGTGGAGCGTTCACAACCGAACTGCAAGCACTTATTGCAACTATACGACTGCGTACTTACATCATCTCACCAATCAAGCACAGAGTTGGCAACAAGCCAACGGTGACCGGTATGGAGTTCTTGAAAGCTGCTCCCCTGACAGCACCTAGATTCGGTTTGTGAAAAGTTTCAGCAATCCGATAGTTACTGTTACATAAGCTAATCGAGTTCCTTCCACCAAGCCATCGTTGTTCGTTAGATGCAGGGCGCGAAAACGCATGGCAAAAAATATCCAACTTGGCGCACTTACGGAACTGGTCCTAGTTCCGAAACCTAGTGTGTCTTCGTAGCCGAGGGCAACCACTGTAATTCGCTTGTGCGTAGGTTCGCCCAATTTACCTGGCTTGTAAATTGTTCAAAAACAGAAGTCTACTATATATTCAAGTCAACAGTTACCTCAATGTAAAGCACGCTTTCCTTCAAGTTGACAGTCGAAGTAGTAAACGGCACTGAAGATGCAACTAAGGCTGTACGAAAGCAGTATGCTCCAACCCTCCAACGGGACGCCCGCCACTCTTACTCGCGCACATCCTTACCCCAGTTTCAGACTTACTCAACTCCCCTTTTACGGTCACGAATTGAGGAAACTGCTTACACTGCACACACATAGTTCTCCCGGAATCAATGAGATTCATCCGAAAGTGCTGGACCTGGCAACAACAACGCTGATCGAGCCGTTATCACGTTATTTTCCCAAGATTGCTTGGATCTTGTTGCTCTCGAGACTCCTCAACGAAGGGCAACCAAGAATGTCAGGGACCTCTTTCATCTGCCCTATCAGCTTAGACTGAAATCTCTAAGAATCTACAGCAGTCGATATCGGCTTTTGAGAGGGGGGATCTCATAATGGTTTACCAGGTTCTGAAAAACCCAAACCACATTTGTCGTCCGCTGCTGGAATTGAACCACAACACTAAACTAAGAGGTCACCCTCTGAAACTGACAATTCAGTATAGCCGGCTTGAATGCCGGAGAAATTTCTTTTCCCTCCGCGTGTGTCAGACTTGGAACGCCCTCCCTAATTAGGTCGTCTCTGCTCCCAATTTGGCGATATTTAAAAAACGTGTTGACGATGCATTGTCTCACTTACATTTCATTTTATGACTTGTTAGTCAGGGGCTACAAAACGCAATTAAATAGTGTCTTGCAAAACGCCTAACCAATGGATTTATGGATTTACACTTTTAATACACGAACATCACCGCTATTCCATATAAGTCTATGGTGTGTCCACCACAACGCTTTTCATTTTATCATGCAATTGATTTTCGAAATAATTTTCATCCTACGGGACTTGATAAGCAATGCTTTTTTACCCGTAATAAACTATTGTTCCATTGTTCCATAATCAATTGGTGCCTACTATGTAGAAACATGGAGTAGTCACAGTAATTTTCAAAAGCGGCAGTAGCTAGGAACCCGCAAACTATCGCTCAGTGGTTCTTTCTCTTGTAATCTGAAGGATGATGAAGCAATCATTGATGAGGCTTCAGCCAACCATTCAAAACGGCGCAGCGTCATAGCACCGGAGTAGCTTGTTTCAGTCAGCACGGATTATGCACATCAACCTACTGATTCTACGCGGCAGGTGGACGAAAGTAACCAACAAGGACACGGGGACTGTCATCCACCTGGGCATTTCTTTAGATCTTTCGACCGTCTGGATCGCCGCATTCTGCTTAACAGGCTGGAAAGTTGCGGAGTTGGGGATCCTGTCCTTGGGCAGACAAGGAATTCCCTGCAGAATTAACAACTGCATGTTAGAGTTCGTAGTGGGCTTCCTGATCCGGGTTATATCGATTATGGTGCTCCACATGGATGCGTTTTATGGTCATGCCTTTTTCTCATGTTCACGAAGTGGAGTGGTCTGGGGTTCAGGTCTTCAGCTGTCAACAACTACGTCTAGAGTTTCCGTTCAACTCCGGTTACCACCATTGGAAGGGTTTAAACGACCATGGAACCGGTCGCGGAGTATACTGTTTGTAGCGAGAGACATCAAGACTCTCCGCTTTGGATGCGGCGCCATAACCGTGATGGCCGAGGATTATTTAAGCGTAAACCGTGGTCCGGCTAAAGATTGCATGAAGCAGTCCAAACATACAGCCGGTGTCTCAAAACAAAACAACGGGTACAGAGCACTTTGGTGTTCCGGCAACCCCCGGCCAACTGAAATTCAGTGAGCGAAATCGACGACCTTTATTCAACTTGATCAAATACTTGATGAAAAGCTGTATTGAATAACATATTGGTGTTTACCTTTTTATTTTGGAACCTTCCTCAATACCTGCATATTCAGGTGCTCAACCGATGTTGCCATTGTAAGTTGGAGTATGGACTTGACTCACTCTGCATGAAGATTTCGGTTAGATCAAAATGACCACTCACCTGCTGCATTACCCTCGTTGTTTGGCTGGATGGTAGCTTGAGTTTCCAACAAGGCCTTGCGCTCTTGACTTAGCCGTGGAATGCACAGTGTTCTAATCCTCTGCAATAAGAATGCAGTAAAGTACTCATAGGGTAGAAATAAGCAGGCCTCCATTGGTAGTTAATCCACTCAGCATCCTCTTCAACATCGACTTACTTTACCCTACACAATAAATGGCGTAAGCTTAATTAGATAGAGACATTATAGGTGACTTTATGGAAGCACATTTGATCAATGAATGTACTGGCAGTCTTTGTATTCAATTTGGCGCCTTCTGATCTCGCAATGCTGCTCATGCAGTGGTAGACAAATTGCGCCATAGGAGGTTTATTGTGCATTGATAATGACTAGTCCACGGTCCTTACACACTGTTCTCTTGACAACAGCGATCCTTCTGTATTGACCGTGGGGGTAACAGTCGGTTAAGCAGTTAGTTGGCATTTTGATTATATACACGCATCCCGAAAAAAGGAAAACACCACTAGCTGGACCCAACGTGGAGCTACGATTGCCAACACAGTAAACGTACTTTATCGAAGGAGATGGACCGAATGCTCTCAGCATAAAGCCCCCCAATATTGTTATTCATTTAATTAGATGCAGTTTAACAGCTCCATACGTTCGTGGTTCATGGAAATGCGATAGCGTGTGAAGGTATAATCGGATTCGACGCAGGTATTAGAAAGCGAGTGACAGTCCAGTGTGGAAGCTCGCCACCTGTAACTTAGCACAAGGTGATCTTTTTGGGTTCATCGCTGGTCAGCTGTAGGTGGACCCTAAGTAACACTTCGGTGCACGCTTTTTCTAAAAGCCAGGGTACTAAGAAACAGGCGGTGCTCCACGCACAGTTACAACAGACGCTCGCTTACGTCCGTCCGATGGGATTTAAATCCATTCTTACCACCTAACTGGGCTTACAAAGAGCTCAGAGGACCTACTTGTGCATTCGTATCCACTGTAAAATCTTTTATATCTGTACCGGTGATGGATAACATTGATTGGTAACAACTGAGTTGGTGACGTGTGAGAAGTAGTGTGAGTAGCGGAAGTAAAAGTGGTTGAGCTCGAAATATCAAATGAACTAGACTACTCGATTGCCGTCTGTAAATCCCGATTAACAAGGTGCTTCAGAAAGCAACGGTGCGCTTTAGTTTCAGCTTTAGGCATGCCGTCGATCCTCGGATGTCACTTGTATTTTACGTTAATCCATACATGACAAGTGTCGCTTCTGGTCAAATGTTGTGAAGCTTTTGATGAAAATACTTGCCAAATCCAAGTCGACTCTTACGTTATCAAAACAATGCCGCCACTTACTCCTTCTTATAGTCGTTTGATCGATAAGGCCAAGTTTGGAAACCATGGCATTGGCGACCCTAGCCTGACTTGGATAATCAATCTTCTACACGAAAGTCGGTTAGAGGTGATGGTCCGGGAACATCTGTTAGAGGCAATTGATGTAGAGTGCGGCGTACCACAAGGCTCGGTGCTTGGGTCACGTCTATTCTTCGTTCTCGTAAACCATCTAAGGAGCCCAGTTGCTTTCAGTTTCCTATTTTTCTAAGATGATATCAGGATATGGAGAGTGACAAGAAGATCGGATGGTCGTGAAAGGAAGCAGGGCGATTTTAACATTCTGTCGAACTAGTCGGTACCGAATGCCCTACCACTCAACGTAAACAAATGTCGCGTTGTAGAATTATGCCATAGACATGACCCCACGTATTTGCTTAGGGCACACGGATTACAGACCAGCTTTCAGGAAATTGACCTCGGTGTGCTCTTACAGAATGACCGAAACCGTTCTAAACAGGCTGAGATGGCTGCGTAAAGAGGTAACCGGCACGTCGGCCTGCTGCGAACGGCATTCGGGAGGTTTGACCCATCAATCCTCCCAATGATGCACAATTTCTACTTGAGCCCTTACGTTGCATACGCTAATTAAGCTTGGTAACCTTGGTTGTAACGTCCTCTAGAGACATCAGAGGCACCATAACGAACAGCAACACAGAATGTAAAGCTCCTGCGCCATCACTCTTACCACCGAAGGCTGAAGTTGTCGAAAGTTTCCAGCGGACGCTACCGAAGCTTGCGCGGCGATCTCGTATTAACGTATCAAGTTTAAGTGACCTCAACCACGTATGTCGCCATTGGCTGGAAATTAGATACAACACACAGTTCAGGGGTAACGGCTTGAAATTAAGAGAACCATATAACCGTCGAGAGTGACGACGAAAATATTTTTCCCTTCAGGTCTGCCAATCCTGAAACGCTATCCCATACTCATTTGTAGCCCACGCTTCGTTGGACATCTTCGAAAAACGGTTGGATGTTGTTCTCAGCTCCCTGCACTTCGTTGCCTATACTATGCCATTGTGGATTAGGTTAATCATGCTTCTGCCAGAGTCAAATATCATATGGACTCATTATGTCATAAGGGAGCGACCATAGTTTACTTTTCTCGCGCTTTAAATCAAAAAGCACTGCACCCCGTGTATTTCTATATGCTTACACAAGATTTTTAGTTTACACTAACGTTATTTATCAACGCATTTATCTCGGTAGACGCTTGGTAGATGATTCAGATATATTTTGATTTCATTGTATTCACCCCAGCCATCCTGCTGGACGTGTCAAGCACTTGCTTTTATCTCGTGATAAATCATTGTTTATTATTCATTGCTTGATTGTGGACAATATAAGTGATCGTTGGTGATATTTTGTCCGTAGCGCCTGTGACGATGTCTGCATCCGTACGTGACCCACAACTGTTGAACTTATCGAGGTAGCCGCCATATAAATAAATGTGTTCGTGGTTAAGGGGAAGGTGAGTTACCAGAGGCTGTGCTACGAACAGATTAGCAAGCAAAATTTGTCAGTGATTATGCTAAGGCAGCTTGTTAGAATAAATGTTTGCTGAATCCCAGTGCTGGTGAATACCAACCAATAATGGGGTAACACAGCCACGAGAACAAAAGGAGAAAGGTCGGACCAGTTTTGCCTGAAATGAAATTGGGACAACGAATGGACAGCAGCCTGCAGTAGTTCACGCTTGCGCAGATCCAACACAAAAGATGCAAGTTTACTGACTGTTTGGAGTCAAAAGACTCCACTCATTGCTCAGTTACTAGAGGACGAAACAATGAAAGCACTTCCTTCCAAATATAACTTTAAAAATTCCTATTGTAGCATGCCGTCTACATCAGTGACTTGTTGGTTAGTGACTTTCTCAGACAATCTAATCTACTAGACAGTTTTACTTTTACAAGACGAGTGCTACCTAATTTTTTATGGTATAATTCAGATGGCTTGTGATCATGTTGAAGAGTGTTGTCACTATGGCAATAAGAGAATTAGAGGGCATATCTACGGCGCAATGCATCACAATCCCGATAACCTTTCTCCAGTAAGCCAGATGAATTACAGCTAAGCAATCATTTTGATAATGTCAGGTGTGCAAAAGCAGTTAACTGCTTTTACGAATGAAACCAGCAAAGTGTTGCTCTAAATGTTCATCGGATAACTAACATGCCGACTGTCTGTTTTGCTAAATGATTTCCAAATTTTCGTACATGATAGTTAAATTTATGTTTATGCATTAAGTACTAAATATAAGCTATCGGAAGGCAGCAAAAATGCTTATTAGGCTACATGTAGTCCCATGCGCACATATCGTTCAGGTTGGAAATCTCTCGCTCTACATAAGCTACCAGAGATAGTATTTTTCATCTATTGCGTAGCAGCACTATTGTGCTCGAATACATCAGCTTTTGTTCCCTTAGTTATATGTATCATGGTAGTCACTCCATCAAACAACAGAAAAGTATTGCCTTTGGCAACATACCGGGAATTACACGTCTCCATAGACGTATCTGTCTTATATGCGTCCGGTAAATCTAATTGAATTTTGACAAGATAGACTGTTGGAATGCTGCTTACAAGCACCGTGGGTAGATCCTCCAAATGCGCATTAGACATCGTCCAGTAAACGACAAGAAAAATACTTCAAACTAGTGCGTGTCCTCGTGGTGAACGCGAAATGTACACGTCGCACCTTCGTCGCGCTTTGGGATTTGATACGTGACCTAAACTATGTACCGGTTACAAGTGTTGAGGCCCTGTAAACCACCCGCAAGGTTATCGTGGTTTTCATGGGTACGCGGCCGTCTCGCTGTCCAGAGCTGCACTCTCAGTATGATGGTGATGTGTGTATCTTGCTGTGTTGTGTGGAAAACTCTACCGTTAAGCACCGTAACCTCCGGTTGCCTGTGGCCGTCGCGCCCCCTATCATACGATTCAGGAGCGGTTGAAGACAGTACCATAATTTTGCCGCTACGTATTTTCCCCTCTGGTGTCCAAGTAATATTTACACCTATGTGGGTGTGAACATCATCTTACTTTCGGACGTGTATTTGTGCACAAGTCGGGATCTTCTTCTACAAATGATCCGTAATGCTAACTGGTTCATGCCACGTTATTTCTCACATGCGATTTTGCCCTAACACAGGTACCAATACGAAAAGGAATGTGGTGGTAATCAAAACACGTACCTCAAAAAACGATCCCGGTGTGCGCAGAATTTGAACCACCATAACGATGGGAATCATGAAAACACTACAACTGGCTATGAGCCATCCGAGTTGCACCGCCCAATCGGGGTATTTGTAGATAACGGTTTTGGAAGCGCGTTCGTAGGTCAGCTCTTCGTACACCAAAACGCTGAGGACGAAGACAGACTAGACAAAAGAGAATGAGAGCCGGTAGAAACGATAGGCGAAAATTTAAACACGATTGAATGCGTCCGAGAACATTCTTCTCAAATACGGATTTTGCACTATTCTCCGAGCTGAATGGTTAATTTGCAGAAGTTTCGCTGCCGGGTTGTGGCTCATCCGAGGACTTTATCTCTACTGGAGGAACACGCGGCTTTGGATACGAGCGGTAAACTTGACGCCACACAAATGATGGAGTTGCTGAAATTCTGTCTAACAACACATTTCACTTTCAACGGCCAAATCTACCAACACGTGAGAGGAACTCCAATGGGATCGCTGATCTGTGGACAGGTAGCCGAAGCAGTGACAGCAGCGCTAATGTGGAGCGCACTCTTAGTTGCGAAACAGAAGCTTAAGTGTACTACGTAGACCATACCTTCGTCACCCTCAAAAGCTCCAAATTAGTGGAGACACGTGAGCTAATCAATAGTGTGTTCCACGGCATCCAATTCATGAGGGAGGAGAAGAAAGATGGACAGCTACCATCTTTAGACGTTCTACGTATGACCGGTACAGTATCACTAGAAAAGACGGTCTATCCAAAATCAACACATACGGACCAGCTCCTCAACCACAACAGCAACCATTCGGCAGTCCACAAACGCAACTACGTGCTAACTCTTTTCATGCGAGCACGGACAAAATGTAGCACGTGGCAGCTGAAGCAGGCGGAGGAAGACTATCTCTTCAACTTGTTCAAAAGAAATTCTTCCCAAGAAGGCTTCACACTGCGCTGCTTGACCCCACATCAAGTAACACAACACACCTCAAGTAATGCAACGGCTAAAAAGCGATTCGTGTTGACTTAAACCAGCGGAATCACCGAAATGACAGTGGGAGTCAAAATTGCCCACCAACCAACAGCAACAATTTGAAATAAACTCTTCAAAGTGAAAGCTGAACTTAGCAAGTTGGAAAATTATTATGGAATTTACAGCATCTGCTGTTGAGCCTGTGACAAATACTACGTGTGACAGACAGGAAGAAAGCTTAGGACATAGCTACATGAACATAGCCAGCCATCCACCGTCATGTCAAGAACTCTTTGATGTCTGTGCATAGGGATGCCGTAGACCACCAATTCGACCTGGAGCAGGTCAAAATCCTAAAAAGAGCCACAAACTGGCAAGCAGGTGAGCTTATGGAAGCATTGTATTCAAAGCAAAACTCGATCAATAAGTACGTAGATATTGATGTCGCTTACGAGCCTCTGCGAAACAACACCTTAAAGCCGCACTGACGATGTTGCCTAGTCTGGCAGTGAAACGTATGCAAAATATTCATTCAGCTCGGAGAGCAGTGCGAAACCCACATCCACATCTCGAACTACGAATATTCTCAACCATTACATAGGTTTTCAATTAAGTCAAGGGTAATTAGACGAAAATGGCGTCTTCATTTGTAGCTGGACTCTGATGGAATTGTTTGCGACGTCACGATGACGGTAAACGTGTCGTTTTTCTTCGGTGTGGGTGTGTGTGGATGTGTCTGTACGAAAAGCCACGGTCAAGACAACTGTTAATGGGTGCACAGCAAAGTTCCCCATATTTTTGCTGTACGAAGAGTTCAATGAAGAATTGTGGGGTTTGCTCTCTGAAGAGGAATTCGTTCATCTGTATGCAGATTCCGGAGCGAAAGTAAAATGTGGAAAAAAGTAACACGCAAAAAACTAGCTAGAAGACCGCATACTAAGTGGTAACACCGAAATAAAAGTTAGTTATTTACTAAAGCGATCAATATTTTCGAAACGACCAGTTTCTCTTGGTTCACTAACTGACTTCAGAGTATTCTATACTTATGCATTGTCATCTTGAACACTGTGGTGCTCCCGCTTATTTCATGAATTTCGTTCTCCTGGTATTGTTTAATAGACTAAAGCCAATACTGCTTCATTCCCAGATAAGAGTTTAAACGGTTAACACAAAGAATATTTACTCATTCACCAAACATTATGTTAGAGATTCCGAATTAAAATCGCGTTTTCGAACACCTTAATGCGAGCCACATAATCCCTATACCACGCATCTTAGATAGTGTACTATGTGTCAATAGCATACCGTCACAAACAACTTTCTATCTTGTCATTATAAGGCGGCCGCAGCGAGGCAGTTTTCTTGCGGCTTTCAGTGCCCCACACCATAATGATTCGCTACTCTGCAAGAAATCCGATACCATACACACATTAAACAGACAGTACGACTAGAAAACGACAACATGCGGGCTACTGGTGCCGACTGTCACCCATGTTCTGCAAAATCTGGAGCCCAGCACATGGCAGGTCGCCTGGATTCTAACAGGAAAGGTATCAAGTTTGCTTGTCAGTGAATTCATTTCACGCTGCAAAGTTAATTGTTCTCACGTCTGGCCTTGCGACATCCTATATATGACAAACAAAACGAGTTCCTCCACGCTAATCGGTAATCGGACATCCGTATTCCGTGCCCGAGCCAACGCAACGTATGCAGTGCTATGTGTTGTTCCAAGGAGCTAGCTTGATTATCATTGTCTAGCACTCGCATACTAGCATCATCTTTGTAGACAAGCTGCTGCCACCCGACATTAGCGATGCTACGTAAACAGCAATGATCACAGACTTGAATGCGACTCAAATCTTCTGATCAAAGTGGCCAAGCCTCGCTCCAATAGACTAAGATGACCTCACTGTGGTCTTGTAAACGGGACACTTCTTACCAAAGGAAACCACTTTCTGACGCCACTAGTAAGTTGTGCGTCCAGTACTCGAATTTATACGCTCCTGTCTTCGTTCATACTGACAGGAATGCATCCGTTCGATGCGCATTTATCGGCTCTGTTCGATGGACATCATCATCCTTATACACGTTAGCTAGAGGTGTAAAGCACCACACCTACTGTGCCGCTATACATAAATGAAAAAAGTAAATAAATGCAACAGCTGCATGCCAGCTGAGCGGGCATGGGCGTCGTTCCGGAAAGCTACCAACCGGCTACTAGGCAACAAAAAGTTATTTAAAGTTGGATTAAGCTACGAAATGAGATCGTGTTTGAAAGAGGAGGCTAAATGGGATGGGCAGGGACAAAAACTCACAGCTCGAACGCCACTAAAGTTGGCTCCTAGCCTTGTCAGCAAGTGTCCCTTATCGAACGTGTTTATCGTATATCGGACCCCAACCAGGGACGTGAGGCTCCAACCGAGGGCAGCTTCGAAGTGAGGGCCCTCATTCCTCTCGATTAAGTCATAGCTTGGCCACCTCTCCTCTTTTTCTATCCACACTCCCGGGGAGCAAACAACGCACGTCGCGTGAGTCGGTGGGCTGACATGCATAACATGTGGCCAAGCAGTCGGAGCCTGGTGGGTGAAATGACGGTTCTGAACGGTTCAGTTCCTTTTTCTGTGCCATAAGCAAGGCGTCGAACACGCTCGTTCCTCACACGGTGTTCTCACCAAATATGAGGCAAACTGCGAATGCACCGATGGTCGAACGTAACTAGCCACTTTTTGTCCGTCAATCTTAGGCGTTAGGTTCCGCAACCGTAGAGTAAGGTCAAACATGCCGCTGCATTGTACACTCTACCCTTCAGGGCGAGAGTGATGTCGCGCCGGCGCCATAAGTGGCGAAGGTTAGCAAAAGCACTTCGATCTTTTGCTATATGGTTCGTGATCTCATCTTCTATCCTAAGGGCGCTGATACAACTTCCCAGGTAGTTGAATTACTGAACGACTTCCAGCTGATCCCCGCCAAGGGTCAGCGCCGGAGGTGATCCCTGCCAATCTTGGAGGGAAGCTTTTCAATTCGATGGTGCAAAGCAAAGCCCGTAGCGGCTGACAGCCAGTGTGAATCTGTCCAGCGCGGCTTGGCACGTCTGGGAGCTATCAGAGATGAGGGAAATATCATCAGCATAGTCCAAGTCAAGAAGTCGTTCTCCTGGGAATAGCTCCATACCTTCCAAGTCATGTCCTGTAAATGCAATCTTCAAGATTTCGTCAATAGCAAAGTTGAAAAGGAAAAGTAACCGCGGGCATCCTTGTCTCACACCGCTGGAGATATTGAATGGCGGCGGCGGCTAGCCGTAAGCCCTCGCTCTGCCCATGCTACGGGCGTGTAGTGGGCGAATAATATTTACATATTTCCCAGGTACACATTTCCTGAGCGGACAGCCCCAAAGGGAACATCGATCAACCAAAGCGAAGGCACCTTTGATGTCGAGGAACACGACTACGGTGGGCCGCCAATATGTGTGACGGTGCTCCAACAATTGACGCAAGTTGAAGATGTGGTCGAGGCAGTCACGACCCCGACGAAACTCGGCTTGCTCCCCAAGCATTTGGCTTTCATGAGAGCCAGTCTGTCTGCGAATGATTATGGAAGAAAGTAATTTGGAGGCGATGGAGAGCAGACTGATTTCTCTGTGGTGGCCGCATTTCGAACGCGAGCCTCCTTTGAAGATGGGAACAATAAGGGAGTGGCTCCAGTCGGTTGGGACAGTCTCCTGCTCTCACAGTTTCACTAGTAATTTATGTAAAGCATCAACAAGAGCAGAGCCTCCGAATTTGAATAGGGCTGGAGGAAGATCATCTGTTCCCCCGGCTTTGTTCAACTTCAAAAGTCCGATCTCACGTTTGACTTCTGAGCGAGAGGGCGGATTCAAAGGGGCAGACCGTGGAGCAGGCTGATAACTGGCTGGTGAGCAATCTAATACTTCCAACCGATTAAATTGCCTTTTAAAGTACTCAGTCCAACGCTTCAAACGTTTTGACAAATTGTGGATAGGCTGTCCACTATCGTCGCGTATAGTTTCACTAACACCAGGTCTCCTGTTGCCCGTTTCACGTATCAGACTGAATAACTTACGACGGTTCCTAAGGGCAGCGGCCACTTCTATTTCTGATGCACGAAGAGACCACCAGGGTTCGCGGTCTCTTCAGGCTAGCACGGAGTTTTGCCCTGAGCTCTTTGCGAGTTCATTGTGTTTGCTTCCAG